CACTCATGCATAGTCGGCGTGCTTATTCTTATATGCGTACAAAAGCAGAGGCCGATCTATGGTCTCTTTTCTGGGCTGTGGAATGCATCCACAATTTGCATTTCTCGAATATTATTTTTGAGACTTCCTCCGAGGACCTCCATGACGTTTTCAGTAATCCGGATAACCATCTCAGTCTCAGCCTTGTCCGCCACAATGTTTGCTTTCTGCTATCCAAGATTGCTCTCTGGAGTCTAGATCACGCACTCCAAGAACGGAATGAAGCTGCTGACGCTATTGCTATAAGTGTCACTCGCGATCACCGCCACCAGTCTTACATCGCCAGCAATGCTCCCGTATGGCTACACCATCTTCTCGCTCTGGAAGCCCAGCATTTAACGGTTGGGTGAAGTTCTTTCTCCTTTTTATTTTGATGTCTACTGACATCTTCTTTTTCTCTTATGATTCTCTATCATTTTGTATTGTCTCGAATATTTTTACGTCTCAGTGTTATAAAAAAAAAAACAAATCAACATCCGTTCGGTTAATATTTGAACATGTTCAAGATAAGCGTCTAAGATAACAACAAGTGATATTCAATCCCGCTTCAGTTTGATTTGATTTTTCAACTTTTATTTTGATCTGTAAAAATTAGCTACCACATTAATACCATATTTATTTTCATTTGCTTCGGTTTAAATACTGAAATTTAAAGTTTTTCCCATTGACTAAGAACTATCTAATCATATTATACATTTATGTTAACCTTGTTTTCATGGTACATGGACATTATTTATAATATTTAGTGAGTAATTTAATAAAATTTGATATTTCACCTAATTTAGTGGATTAATCCCTATAAAATCTATAATTTTTGAAAACATGAACAACTAAGATCATAGACCTCTTTAATTTTCATCAAATGTCACTGCATGATAAAGTTATGCATTAATACAAAATACTATATTTTTTTTTAATTTATCTTACAAAAAATCAAGTTTATTCCGATAAATGTTATATATACTAAGGATTAGCCTCATTAATATTTTTTTTTTAAATACCTAACCACATTCTAATGAATATAATGTATGCTAAACATATTTTCATGGTATATAGACATAATTTCTAATTTTCCAACCATTTTTTTTTATAAACTTTATATACAACCAAATTAGTGTATACTAATCCCTATAAAATCTTTATTTTCTAGATAAATGGGAACACCTATGGTCTCAAACATCTTTAATATTCATATATATCAGTGTATGATACATGTATGTATTAAAAAAAAAAATCCAATTTTTAATTTATCTTAAAATATTTGGGTTAACTCTTATGAAAAAGTTGAATTCCGTTAAATACTATCTATACTAGTTAGCCTCATTAGTGTTGTTTAAAAATACATAATCTCACTAAATATTTATATATATGTATGCCAAACTTATTTACATGGTACTTGGGCCTTATCTCTAATTTTTTAATGATAAATTTATTAAAACTTCATATACCATCTAATAAGTAGACTAACCTCTTTATTATTCATATTATGTCAGTACATGATACAATATTAATTAAAACAAAATATTTTATTTTATAATTTAACTTAAAATATGTGAGTTAACACTTATAAAAGACCGTGTAGTTATAAAATTATTATAGAAGGTAATTTAAATAAATATCTGAAAAATGAAGCTCATATATCGTAAACTTCTAAGAAAATGTTTATTGCATGTCTCTTAAATTGTGTCTCTTATCGTAATAGTATAAGATATAATTTCTTAGCTTTTAATCAAAAATGCTAAGAGATGTATGTTATATTACGCTAAGACGGAATCTACCTATAATAAACATGTTCATAGGCCCATTAATAGTTATTTACCCAATTAAAAATGAAGGTCATATATCTAACAATTAAAAGGGTTGCGAAGCCTATGTTTGATGCAATATTATCGTTTTGGATTGTTTATGGCAAATTCTGTGATCAAGCACCGTCGAGTTAAGCCACTAATAAAACTTGAAAAAAGGAACAAGACACACACACACACACCAAACTCATCAGATGGGTATTCTCAGAAATCTATGCTGTCAAAAATCTCATATATTCAGAAGCTCGTGTTCTGCTTCGATGTCGGTGATGATGCGTAGGCGACAGTAAGCTCTCCACTTTCTTTTTAAAAGATGTTTGTCTCTTCTTTACGCTTTCCTCTGCTCCCCCTTTTTCCTGCTATTCCATAAGGCGTTTCGATTTATCTTAAACATGAGGCTTCTTGTTAATGTTGATTCTACTACTGCTTCAATGAGCTAGAATTTGAAATGCCCCATGTTAAAAAGAGGAAACTTTTCTGTGAATTTAGTTTTGAGATGATGGTTTAGCTGATTCGAGCTCATTCTACTGCTAGAGAATCTGATTAGAAGGTAGAGACTTTTATAATTGAATCTCAGATCAATTGGTTGGAGCTTTAGTTTCAGTAAGATCATTTATTTGGAAGCTTCTAAACTCAACTCTGGTTAGGATTTATCTACTCTATTTCCTTGTTACATTAGGATTCTTATAACCCTTTTCCTTTTGGGTTTAGATTTTTCTTTCTTAATTTATAGGGATGTAGCTCGTTTGTGAAATTCATCTAAAAACCAGAGTGTGATTTGCTTTCTGTTTTCTTTCTTTCAGCTTTCATAATGAGCTTTGGTGTTTCATCTGCCTTTTTAGCAATAACACGAGAGATTTATGTTTTTACTTGTGATTTCAGGGATATTCATTGCCTAGACTGCTAAACTTAAGGGATAAGAGAGAAGCTTTCTGCCTTTTTTTCTCATCAATAAATGGCTGCTTGGTCAGCATCAGTTGGGATTAGATGTCATTGTCTTAACAGTGGTATCACTGAAACTTGGAGATTTCCTTCTGCCTGTATTATAACGTGTAAGAACAAGACTAAACGTGGATCTGAGACACTAACATTTACAAGAAAACATATCTATAGGGATTTGGTTGCAAATGCGTTGCCAAGTTATGGGTTGAGTAAGATTTGTGCTTCAAAAACTTCTGTTGACCTCAAGGAACAGGTCGATGATCTAAAGAAGGTAACATCCTTTTTGTTCAGGACGAAATCTGGTGCTCTTGTTAAAGTTCAAGTCGAAAAGAAGAGAGAAAAATACAGTATCATGGTTTATGTCTCATCGTTGGAACCAAGTGTTGATGACAAGAGTAGACTGGTGATGGTTTGGGGTGTATACAGGTCTGATGCTTATTGTTTCTTGCCTCTGGATTTCGACAACTCTTCTCAAGACTCACAAACCCACACAACACAAACTCCCTTTGTGAAAAGCTCCTTGTCTGAGTTTATGCATGGGCTAGAATTTGATGGGAAAGAGTCTCCTTTCTACCTATCATTTCGGCTCAAGTTAGTTTCAGCAAATGATCCGAAGGGTCTGGAAATGCTGACTCACAGGGACACAAACTTCTGTGTTCCGGTTGGTTTTACTGCTGGTCATCCACTGCCATTAGGCCTTTCATCTGGACCAGATGGTGACTCGTGGAATTTTGCATTCTTCACAAGAAACTCGAAGAGGGTGGTGTTATGCTTGTTTGATGATAGCACTACCGATAAGCCTGCGTTAGAGCTTGATCTTGATCCTTATGTCAACCGAACAGGTGATGTCTGGCATGCTTCAGTTGAGAAGACATGGGGTTTTGTGAGATATGGGTACCGTTGCAAGGAAGCTGTACATTCTGAAGAAGAAGTCGATGTTGAAGCTGAGAATATTGTCTTGGATCCTTATGCCACAGTTGTTGAGAAATCAAAATCTCAGCAGTTTCTTGGAAGTTTGTTCAAAGACCCTTCTTTTGATTGGGGGAGAGATGTGTCTCCAAACATACCACTGGAGAAACTCATTGTTTACCGGTTGAATGTTAAGGGTTTCACACAACATAAGTCCTCCAAGTTGCCAACTAATGTAGCAGGGACGTTTTCTGGTGTAGCTGAGAAAACGAACCACTTGAAATCCCTTGGAACCAACGCTGTTCTCCTGGAGCCAATCTTTTCGTTCTCCGAGCAAGAAGGTTCTTACTTTCCATTTCATCTCTTTTCACCGATGAACATGTATGGACCCTTCAATGGCCAAGAATCCGCAGTTAAGTTGATGAAAGAGATGGTAAAGAAACTGCACAGTGAGGGGATTGAGGTACTTCTGGAAGTAGTTTTTACACATACTGCTGAGTCTGGAGCTCTTCACGGAATTGATGACAGTTCATATTATTATAAAGGAAGGGCTAATGATTTAGATTCTAAAAGTTACTTGAACTGTAACTATCCTGTTGTCCAGCAGCTGATATTGGAGAGCCTGCGTTATTGGGTAACTGAGTTTCATGTAGATGGATTTTGTTTCATCAATGCTTCTTCTCTCTTGAGAGGTGTCCACGGTGAACAACTTTCTCGTCCTACCTTGGTTGAAGCAATATCTTTTGATCCGCTGCTAGCAAGGACAAAACTGATTGCTGATTGTTGGGATCCACATGACATGAAGATGTCAAAGGAAGTAAAGTTCCCTCACTGGAAACGATGGGCAGAACTCAATACAAGATACTGTCGAGATGTAAGGAACTTTGTGAGGGGAAGAGGTGTTCTTAGTGATTTAGCTACAAGAGTTTGTGGAAGTGGTGACATATTCACTGATGGAAGAGGTCCAGCTTTCTGCTTCAACTACATTTCAAGAAACTCAGGACTCTCTCTTGTTGACTTGGTCAGTTTCAGTGGCCCTGAGCTAGCGTCAGAGCTAAGTTGGAACTGTGGGGAAGAAGGAGCGACAAACAAGTCAGCTGTTCTTCAAACAAGGCTAAAACAAATCCGCAACTTCTTGTTTATACAGTACATTTCACTTGGAGTCCCGGTGCTTAACATGGGAGATGAATGTGGAGTCTCTACGAATGGCTTGCCTTTGTTAGAATCACGGAAACCATTTGATTGGAACATGTTAACTTCTGGTTTCGGTGCACAGATCACTCAGTTCATCTCTTTCATGACTTCAGTTAGAGCAAGGAGAAGCGATGTGTTTCAAAGGAGTAAGTTTTTGAAACCAGAGAACATTGTTTGGTGTGCAAATGACCAGACAACACCGATTTGGGAAGACACTGATTCCAAATTCTTGGCATTGTGGATCAAAGCAGAGTCAGAGGAAGAAACAACCGAGCCAAAGAACAATGATGATCTGTTCATTGGATTCAATGCAAGTGATTTTCCTGAGAAGGTGATATTACCTACACTTCCTGATGGAAGAAGGAAATGGAGACGATTGGTGGACACAGCTCTTCCTTTTCCTGGGTTTTTCTCTGTTGAAGGAGAGACCATTGTAACAGAAGAGCATATGGATGAAATGGCAGTGTATTATGTGATGAAGCCATACAGTTGTACCCTTTTTGAAACCATCAATTCCACGGCTTAGAACTCATGTTATGGTGATCTTTTGTGTGTTGTTATATTGTGTTATTGTATCTCTAATCAGAATATTTAATCAAATCAATGACATTCCTCAATATCAGATATAGTACACTAACAACAATTATATTGAGGCCATACAGTTGTACCCTTTGTTGTTTGCTTATAATCTAATAGAGAAGAAACTAAAGGACCAGAATAAAAAGGCATTTCTTAGTATAACCTTTTTAATCAAAGAGTTTAGAAAAGAAAACAGATGATCCTCTGATTAAGATAATCTTAAAACATTCAGTGTTACACGAAAATGGAAAAGTATCAAGTCTTGTTAATCAAGAGAATTAAGTTTGGAGATACAAAGAGGTTTTTGGAGGAATCAACCACCTCTAGCTTCTCTTCTAGCAGCATCATGAAGTAGATCAACATCGACTCCATCAGGAGGTAACTGCACGTATCTCACCACTGATCCCCTAATGAAACAGTTTCTCACTGAAAGCTACACAATTCACAACAAAAACAAAAAGAAAAGCCTAAGCAAAGTTACTCCCTGAGATGATTCAAATTGAATGCCAAAGCTACTAGAAATATCAAGCTAAAAACATTTGATATCATTCCACAAACAAATTGCAAAACCATTGTGCCTATGAGAGGACTTGACAATTATCAATGGCCACACAAAATGCAGTATATACTAGCAAAAAAAATCGATAAAACAGGTAGTCAATCCACAGAGAAGGCATTACAAATAAAAAGCCAAAGCTCACAGAAAACACAAGCGGGAAAGAAACTAAGGAAGCTTGATTGATGGGTTAAACACATGTGCAAGAACCAAGCTTTCAAATTCATCAACCAGGGTGAAGACGAGCAAGCGTTTTCTGATCAAACCAAAAGAAGTATTGCTACAGAAATCAAAATCAAAACACACTATGGTGGTGCTGGATAAAGAAGGAATTCATGGTTGGGTTTACCATGTGAGGGAACTTGTCCTGATCAACAACATGAGTGTTCTCGAGCTTGATATTGAGGTACTGATCAACTGAATGAAGAGTCCCTCTGATTTCTAAATCGTTCTTCAGCTCAACCGTCACTTCTTGCCCGACCAAATCCTTGAAGTATGAAAAGAACAACTGCACAACACAGATAATACTACACTAATCAAAACCCCTCACTCATCATAACCGAAAACACACCCACGAAGAAAAATGAGAGCTTTGTTTAGCTCTCAAATTAAGGGAAATCCCAACATTCAGATTCATGAAAAAAGCATATAACTTTACCATTTTTTTTTTGTCTCCGTTGATTCCTTCCTCGGCGTGAAAAGTTTGAGACTTTTGATCTTTCCTCTCGAGTGTTGTGAGTATACCCTAACGATCTTTGTGTCAAATTTTCGACCAGGAATCTTTTTTACCCGACCCGTAAGCCCATAATTTTACTAATGGGCCTACGTTGCCGCCATTTTTTTTGTTTGTTACGTCTGTATCTTTATGAATGAATCTTGGGAATTAGTTGTAGCAGATCATAAATATAAAATTTCAATCGAATTGGAACACTATTATTGATCCTAATACTAAAATCAAATAAAATGTAGAGATAACAAATCAAATAAAACAGAACGTTAAAGAGAAAACAACAGAATGGTGATATGATTTGAGTGGGATAGAAATAAAAAGCACACAACTTGAGAACTACATTTAAGGTTTTGATGATGAGTGTTCGTCATCATCATCATCTTCAATGTCCCAACTTAAGTCTTCATCTTCCTCTGCAGCACTCAGGCGTTTACGCAGCTCAGCTCTGTTTGGACTGGAACGACTCGTTTCCTTTCCATCAATGCTGCTCATATCCTCAATCTCGTCCCATCCCAAATCCTCTTCTTGAGTTGATGAACCATCTGGTTTAGCTGAGTTCTGTGATGGAGCACTCTCATCGGATTTGGTAACAGCTTCTGGTTTGACTGCATCCTGGATTGGAGCCTCATCAGATGCAGGAGGAGGAGTAGTAGTAGCAGCATCAACAACTGGTTTTGATTCTGGAGCTTGCTCATTACCAGTTTCCTTCTTCTCCTCAGAACTAACATTGCTCACTTCAGTCACTGACTCAGCGCTTTTCACTTGATCATCTTTAACAGTCTTGCTCACATCTCCACTACCCACATCATCACTCCCTTCAAGTTTCAATCTTGAAACATCTTTGACAGCGCCTTCAACAACAATCTCGCTGCTCTCCTCTTCATCATCAATATCCCAGCTCAACTCTTCCTCATCATCCAAAGAAATGGCTCGTTTCACAAGATTAGCCCTCAAGTCTTCAGCTTGCTTGAGCTTATAAACCTTATAGAAATACCGAAACCAAAACGTGTCATGATCAACCACATTAGGAACAACCCTCTTATACACTCCTCTCATATCTCCCTCCAACAACAATCTCTCCATCTCCTCAGCTTTATCTCCCAGAGAAAACTCAGATTCCCACTTGTTGTAATCATCTGAATCCTCAGGCTCTTCACTGTAAGTACTGAGATCTCCCTGAACTGCTCGAACCTGAGCATCGAAACGACTATACGGCTTCGAGTGGCTAAAGCTATCACGACGACCAAAGCTAGTACTGTTATCAGAAGAATCAGATTCGTTACCAGCCGTTAAGATGGCTTCTTTGCCTTGAGCGATGATCTCAGCCGTACTTTTTAAGACGGTGTTCCCAAATTCGTCAAAGGCGTGTCCCACGGTGCCAAGCGATCCCTGCGCGACTTCGATTTCCTTCTTCAGACCTGTCCCGAACTCTTCTAGATCTCGTCGGTAGGTTTCGATCACTGACTCGGATCTGTCGGCTATGGTTTTCATCAGACCACCGAAGCTCCATCCTCCGCCGCTGTCGTCGTCGTCTTCGTGTTCTGGATTGGATTGATCTCGATCTTCGTGTTGTTCGTCGCTGTGTTTCGGTGAATCGGACTCTGATTCGGTTCCGGGGGGATCTGGGTCGTCGGAGAAGACGGATTTGAA